AATGAAGAGATTTTCTCCAAAAAATTATTTATTGTAGAGTTCTATTCTTTTTTAAAACATGTACTTTACTATGCTCAAGCACTAGGATCGTTGCTAAATTTAGACTAATGCACGACCATCATATCTAAATTTGGCAGTAAGAAAAATAATTTTTAACCAAAATCACGTGAAACCCTTTTTTTAATTTGAAATTTGAGTGCGTGGCGCAGCAATAGGAGGTCTTTAGACCGAGCCAACAATACAATCGAGAGATGAAATAAACAAAATTACGAAGAATAAATTAATTGTAATAGCTCTAGAAGGAAAACCAGCAATCTAATACTTGAAGAACTAAGTATAATGAGTGCGGCTAGTACAAGTGCAAATTCTAGTGCTGAAGGAGCCAAACGAAAAGTACATAATTACACCATAACAAGAATCAAACAGACATGAAGGAAATAAGCAAGCAATCTGACAATCGATGACCAAAGGATTGTATCAAACACGAAAGGAAATTGGAAAAGGAGGAAAAGAAATGGGAGATGGAGAAGAAATAATTCATCGGGACGATGAATTTAAAGAAGAAGAAGATTGTGAGATTGTAAACCACGGATCAACCAATTGCCCGTTGATATTGACCACTCTCAGTGATTAATTTCGTATATAATCTCTATCGTTAATTATCTTGGTGATTAATTTCATATATTATTTTTATCGTTAGTTGTCTTGGTAATTAATTTCGATGATGCTAAATATCGTTACATATTGTAAGATAATTATCGAAAATTATTTTATTTCGTTAATTTTCGTTTTTTTTATTAAATGATGTATCTCGATATTTATCTCCCAAAAAAAAATAAACAAAATAAACAAACTTGTCAGATAAATTTCCTGATGTTCTTTATTTACATTTTCACTATTTTTTTTATTTTTATTTTTATTCGTAGTAGTTAACTTTATTTAAAAATTAGCGTCGCGGTTAGGATGTTGCGTCGCAATTAAAGTGCGATATCGCGGTTAGAATGATAGATTGCAATGAAGTTGTTACCAATTAATTTAATTGTATATAAGATGCTCAAATTCGACATACTTGTAAATAACTTTGTAATAACTTTGTCTTAGTTTTTAATAACTTTGAAATAAATTATTCGCTAATAAAACTAATTTGTTAGTAATAGCCAATTCATTCTGATTCACATAATCACAAATTTATATTGTTATCACACTCTCCCAAATAATAATTGGTGACAATAGTCACTAAAAAAAATTTGACAATTTATTTTGGATGAAAGTTTCAGACCACCTTTGAGACTAGAAAAATCAAAAAAAAAAAATAATGATAAAATTTCACATTCCATGGGATTTCTCTTAATGCCCAATCTGTTAAAAATACAGGATGGTTGATACAATGTTGTGAATGTAATAAAAACAGAATATTACATTCAAGGTATAAATTAAAAAAAAAAAATTTAACTAGATTTTTGGATAGTATATACTATTCATGTGGAGATTCCTTTAAGGATTTCAAAAGAACAACCTGATTCTGGAAATGCAATTGCAAATAATTCAAATAATATTAATGGAATTTCTTTACTTAACAATAGTTCATCATATGAAAAGGAGTTTCACTGAATTGGAAGAAGATAGTGAAAATGATACAGTATGTTCAGATTATAACGAATCAATTGAAAACCAATCAGGATTATTTGACAAAAATGATGTTTTAGAGATCATAAAAAAAAATTAAGGTTAATGACTTGTTAACTTGCAATAGTCCAATGGAAATTCATCTAATTTATTTCAAGAAATCTGTTTTTCTTGTGGTTTAAAGGAACCACCAGTAAGTACAACTTATGTAAAAGATGAATTTTATTTTTATTGTAATGACTGTGAATTAATTGTCACAAGAAAGAAAAAAATAACCAAAATATATATCACGTGACATTATAACAACTTTTACATAAATTTTTTTGGGAATTCCACCAACAAGTAAAAATTTTATTTGTGTGGCCTAAGCAGTATATGAACGAATGAATAAAATATACTAGATTTCTTTACATCTAAAATCTTGATCTAGAGTTGCTATTGCTGCTCCAAGACACCATCCAACTTCTATTCCTATTATTTTTTTGGCAATCTTTATTTCTCTTTCTAAAGACATTTCATAACCAGTATGTAAAAGCTCATAAATAAATGTTAAATCCATACAATAATGTGGATCCTTTTGAAGTTCCTTCATAGCTTCTGGTAAATAAGAAAATTTACCATAATTTCCTGAACAAACTTGATCAGTGAGATCACGAAGTTCTTTTAAAGTAAATTCTGATGGAGTTCCCAATGGACTTATACGGTCATAGAAATATGAAAAAGCATAAATATCATGCATTGGAAATGTTTCAGTAAGTGATGGCTGATATATACCATTAAAAGAACATGGCGATAATGAACATTTTTTATGTTTGTTAAGTATTTGTTCTGCTATAAATCTACATTGAGCATGACCGCCACCTGTACCAATAATTTTAACTGAATCACCAAAATTAGTTTCCCATAGCTCAGTATAATTTACAGGTAAACAAGGATGTGGAATAAGATGTTTATCATATTCCTTATCGCCAACAATGTTTTCATGCCATAAATTTGCCGTGAAATTTTTAATTTCCCTTCTTGCCTCCATCAATCCATAATGTAAATAAGAGTGTTGGTATAAAATATATTTATGTCCGCCATACTGTAATTCATATCTATGTTCTCCAGCTGGCACTTCAAAATCATCTGTTGTTTCAGGCTCAAAAACTATTTCAGTTGAAGCACCTCCAAGGTCAAGAGTTGCAACTGTAGGTAATTTTTTTGGCGAGCCAACTTTATTTAATAAGTAATTAACTGTAATCCACCCATAAATACCTATTTATTTAATTATTTAATAAAATAAATTATAGATCTAGTTATGAATATAAATAGTGAGTTGGTTAGTTAAAAATATAAGGAAATCATAATACCTTCATCTTTACCATCCATAATTACCACTCCATCTTTTTCAATTGGAAAAGGATATTTCTTTTCTAAATGATTTCTGACGGCTTCTAATATACGTTCACTTTTTCCAGCTCCTAACAAACGTAAACCAGCAGTAGCTTTAACTGCCACTGGTGTACAATCATGTAACTCTTTGGGAACATTTTCAAGTGCAACTTTCAATAATCCATCCAAGCTTCTTGCTGCTTTCTTAGGATTATTAACATATGCAGAAAGGCCAGGTTCGACTTGGGCAAACACTTCATCCTCTAATTCTGGTGCTGATTTACAATAGTTAAACTTATAAACATGAATCCGAGATCCTGTAGAACCCGCATCGATCATTAATGCATATTGGATGAGTGGATGTCCAGGATGTGGTATAGTACAATGTGAGGATTGTAAATGAGGTGAAATTACTGTCTCTTCCTTTGGCAATTTCTCTGGAATTTTGGTGGTTTTAGAATCTAAAAGGTTTATTTTAGTGTTTGCTAGCTTTTGTTCAGCTTCGAGTGAATCATTCGCTAGGAACTTTTTTTTTCTTTACCTGGAAATCCTGGTGCAAACCCAATTCTTTGCCCGTTTGGAATAAAAGTCCAAACAATGAATATAATAAGTAAAAACGCTATAATTCTGAGGCCAGGAAAACCTTTAATAAAGATTATTGTCATCATTAGATTTAGTGAGGTCCAAAAAAAATTTTTTTAGAAAATAATGAATTCGTAAAAAATTAGGGGATTTAGCTTCCGCAGTATAATTTCTACTGTGCAGATCATCTATAATCATTAATTGCTTATAATAACAATTGGTCAACTTCAAAACACTAAAACAAAAAAAAATTATCTAATTTTAAAATTTAACCGATAAGTTTTATTGTTCATGACTCAAGCTTCAAGACTTATCGGCTGGTTTTTTTTTTTAACTGAAAATTGGCTGAGCCTTAGCATTTTGAAAATTCCGAATTTTGTTATACACTTTATCAGTCATCCGTGATTTCACGGGATCGACATGTCTACTGCTGTAGCTATGTAATTTTTTCGTGAAACATTTCAAT